ATAAAAAAAAAAATTTTTAAAAAGAAAAAATTTTTCAAAAAAAAAAAAAAAAAAAAAAAAAATTAAACTAAACTTATCTTGTTCCAGCTTCTAATTTCTGAGGATTACCACATTTCTTAGTCACCAAGGTCAAACACGTGATGGCATTAACTGTGGATACCTGCTGTTCTTATTAAAGTTATCTTTTTGGGTTTTAAACTGTTTGTCAGACAAAAAAACCCTGAAGATTTCACCTTGGACTCCAAGATATTGTTTTATAAGCCAAACAATTGCCTGACTAGATGGTTTGCTTTCTTGATTGGCATATTGATCAATTAAGAAAAGGTCAGTTACAGACCAACACCATCTCAAACAGACAAAATAGGTGACAGGCTAAACATCATATTGCTTAACAGTTGCATCATATTGCTTAACAATTAGTAAATCGCCAAGGAGCACTGCAAATATCTGATCAATAATGTCTTGCTGGGATATTGATCCACTCCAAATGGATGGGTGGCAATACACTGGTAACTAACTGTGCTTTGCTAATGGCCTTATCTTGACCGTCTGTGACAGCAGCTGTTGTCGCCCCTTGACAATGACATTTTCATTATTTATTATTCTGTGGTAGTAATGACAAAACTGTAATGGCTCTGTGTAGAGGAAACACTGACACAGTGCACCAGACTGCTCCAGGCCTTCATCTCTCCGTCTGGCATGTGGGTATACATGTTTACTCACTAGTCCATCTCTGACCCAACATGAGGTGCAAGCACCATATGCACATGCTAACAAAAGATTAGTGAGTTGTGCGTGTATGGGACAGGGGCCAAGTTTGTGTGTCCCTTTATAGAACCACACCTCAGGTGTAGCCAGGAAAAGGTCACACATTGTGAAACCGCGAATAAAGGAAAACATGTGAGCTTAGTGTAGTTTTTAGCATTTAAAGGGATCTGTGTGACTTTGACAACTCTGCCAGTCCCAGCCTGCAGCTCTGCAGGCCTGTCTTTGACACCTAGCATCCATGGAAACCTCGCTCCTCAATCTGCTACCATTGCGTGTATCCTCCACCGTCACGCTCACAGCAAGACTCAAAGAGCTTATAATTATGAGCAGAGTATAGGTGAGATACAATTCCTTAAAAATGAATTTCTTTTGTTGCACTATACTTTGATAAAACCTAGTTTGTTTTCCTCTCTGTAATGCACTGTACACTAGTGCTTTCTATTTTGCCTAGTGGTGGCAGGGATTGATGCATTTAAAAAGCACACTGCAAATGCACCACACTCACAGAGCCAAAGTGGGTCAGTGTGTTGAGCTGAGCAGTGAAGGATGTGACAGCCCACTTAGCTGTGCCCCTCTTTGCCTACTTTTTAGTACACACACGCCAAGAGCACACACTGTGTTAAGGGGCTGAAGGCCTACAAATTTAAGCCAGAGCCGTTATCTTTTAGACTAATTATCTTTGCCAAGCCTGATATTCACCAGAAGCTTAGTCTGTGGTGTTTAAATAATGCCATGCCAGCAAAGGTTAGATCAAGGTTCTTGCTTTCTCCAGGCCAGTTAGGCCTCCCGGGGGGTACACTATTGATCTGGAGCTAAGAGGGACTGATCTCTCCCCTCCCCCCTCTCTCTCTCTCTCACACACACACACACACACACACACAAACACACAGACTCTCTAATAACCTACATGTGCACACAGTAACAGCATGTACCAGCATGTCACAGCAGTTCAATATACACTGCCTTCACTCAGCAGGTTAGCTGTTCAAGGAGAGGTTGGTGGCAACGCCTGCAGAGGTACCTGCATGTTGCTATTATGAAAATACAACTAGGCAAACCTTCACACCAGCATTTAACAGGTTGAACCGGTGTGTAACTTCGCTAAAACAATGTCGATGCTCCCCCCCCCCCTCCCCCCCTCTCTCTCTCACACACACACACATACACACACAAACACACAGACTCTCTAATAACCTACATGTGCACACAGTAACAGCATGTACCAGCATGTCACAGCAGTTCAATATACACTGCCTTCACTCAGCAGGTTAGCTGTTCAAGGAGAGGTTGGTGGCAACGCCTGCAGAGGTACCTGCATGTTGCTATTATGAAAATACAACTAGGCAAACCTTCACACCAGCATTTAACAGGTTGAACCGGTGTGTAACTTCGCTAAAACAATGTCGAACTCCGTAGTTTTCTCTGGACCCCTGCCCAATGTGACCAATGATGACATGTTTAGCCGCATGTCGTCATTCAACCGCTGGCTGTCTAGGTGGTGCCCAGAAAATAACGTGGGCTTCATAGATAACTGGAAAACATTTTGGGGAAAACCTGGTCTGATTAG